ATGACAGAACTCCACTACATACTCTCAATGCGAGCTGGGAAGATCCAATTGATCAATTAATGAGCTTACATACGTATCGGACCGCCGCCAACCAAATTGACACTGTTCGTGCACATGCGTTGAACCTCTCAGCTCCTGCGCCTACCGAACTTCATGCTGCTCACTTGCTGCAAGCCAACAGCGCCGACAGCCTCTTCGAAGTCCCTGCTCACAACGAAATCAGAATTACACATCATCAGCGACCTACCCAACTTGCAAAACGCGGTAATGCTGAAGGCCCAGGAGGCTTACCTCAAACCGCCTCGAAAAGACCGCGAGTTCACCGCACGAGCATTGAAATCGAAGAACCGAGTGCAACAGCAGCAGCTCAGCTTGTCGGTGGGCAGCTGATTGACATAAGTCATAACAATCAGTCCTCCTCAATCACCTCAACAGACGCTATTAGGACCGACATTCAGATTAGCGAGGATGATCGATGGTGCTTGAATCAAAAAGTGGTGGCTTCGGCAATTGCAGCTGTGGTCGCTATGTCAGAAATAATGAACAAAAAGAAGCACCGCACCGAAATCATCGCCAACTCATCACCAGAATCGATGGAAAGACACATGCTCTCATTGCATGTGATCCTCCGGATGGTTGAGGAAAGCATCCCTGGGGGAATCCTGACGCCTCGGCCAGACATCTATGGGGTTGGGGAGGTGGGAAAGATGAAGAAGGGGGAGGTCGAAAAACTGATGGCCGAGTTGCTAAGTGTGTGTTGGAAACACCTCAAGCGGATCGATCTGCTATTGAGCGAGCTGAGGAACCGGATGGGTCTGTGGAAATCAACCACGACCCGATACTGTGAATTGTTCAAGCAGCGATGTCACGAAGCTCGGAACATGGTCGAGGACTACTGTCCAAGCGCGGAGCGGAGGGTACAGATTTGATGAGGGTGGAATTATTGTAAATATTAGCTGTAGATCTTAAAGCACTTTCATTTCTAGTAAATATTTATAACTGTAGTGAGCAAACATGAGCGAGAGAAGTAGTACAAGCGTAGGCAATTGTCAGCCGATTCACTTGGGAGGGCAGGTCTTATGAAAGATAACAGCCCTCAGGGGAAAGAGGAACATGAATTCTCAGTCTGTTTTCGCTGTTTAGCCCTACAAAGAACGCGGCCAGGATCATCGGTTGATGATGGGGAGTGCCGATCCACCTGCCAATCCCTGGCTATCCTTGTTCCCTGGCTACCAGATGTGCACATCGTTACCTTCATTCGTAACGATGCCAGTATGCACTAGTGACCATTTTTGCTCATCCCCGGATTTCCTCCGGCCCATATGTCGCGGGAAGTTTCGGGCATGCGATCCGAGTCGACAGGGCTCCCCAGGATGGAGGACTCGCTGAAAAGGAGGGCCATCAAATCAACACGACCCAGGATAATTTCATCCCCCCTGATCATCTTACATCACTTCATCATCAAGTTCAACCAAGAACTTGGGGCCAAAACTCCAAGCATTGCCCAAGGAAATCTAGGGGGTTTTCATTGGCTTTCTTCATCCAAGGAAGAGTGGACATTCCTGCTTGGATTCTGCTTTTACAGCCAAGACTCAGTCAGACCTTGCAGAATTGAAAGATGTGCTGAAGTACATCCCTAGCTCCTCCTATTTCTTTCGGTCTATCTATCTATCTCCTCAGCTTCCCTCTGCAATATTCCTTTGATCTGATGGTCCATGTGAGCTTGGAATTGAAAAAGAAAAGAAAAAAAATCATGGATGTATTTGTATGACTATGGTGTGTACACCTGAATGATCTGTTCAAGAAAAAAACACAATGGTGAGTTCTATCAAGACAGAACTAACACAAAACTGTTATAATTGTTCCAGTTTTACCATTTATCCTTAGAATTGCTTGGCACTTAGAAACAATTGACTGGGCCTAAATGGGTGTTGTAACATTCCTGTTACAGGCCTCTGCCTCGCCGCAGCACGGCACCCGGGGAAGTCCCTTCCGAGACTTCCGAGTTGGGAGGACTTCCTAAACTCTAAGGAATTAAGACACTATCGGAGCTCAAGTCGCAATAGGTTATGAGCCCTTAAGGACTCTCGCTCACTTCTTTCGCCTCTGGACAAATCCTTGATTCGACCCGTGGATTTGGTCATTTTTTTTTTCTTCGTTTTACGACATCAGATACCTTCGCTTCGCCACCGGGTTGCCGATTTCCTTCTCATCGCCAAAGTTTTTTGACTGGACCTTCGTTTTGGATCAGCGTACCGATTAAGCTAAATAGACTAGCCATCTATCTATTACGGTTCAGTGGCCCTGAACCGGTGCAGAAAGGTTGCAGATACCATTTTGGACGACCGCTCGGGCATTTTCCTCCTCGGACTCACCCTCATCACGGAGGACCGGTGAACAACAGCCGCACGCATTTTTTTTTCCCTTCTCTCTCTCTATTTCCCCTCTCACTACTCTTTCCCTTCTATCTTTTCCCTACCCCCTAACTCCACTTCCTTTCTTCCAAATCCTTATCCAAAATTTTTATATTTTCCCCACTTCTTTCCCCTCAAATCGCTACTGTTTTTTCCCTTTCCCTTCCTCCTATTTTTCTTTCACTTGATCCTATCACCATTTTTTTTCCTTACCAATTCATCGCTCTCACACACCCAATTCTTTCCCTATGACTTCGAAGAACCGGAACAGGATGTCACGGTCCGAGCAAGAAAGGAACGTGTGGTCTCGGGCGTCATCGGCCAGCGTTGCCTCGACGAATGGGTCCGAGTCGGAGTATGATGTTAACGACGGCGCAAGCAAGATGGGGGCTTTATTCGATGCGGCACTAGGTGGAAGCGACAATACAGAACATGCTGAGACCACGATCAAGAGTCACCACAAAGGCAAGCAAGTCGAAGGCGTCGATCCACCCCGCCAAGGCCCCTCGACATCACATCATACATCTCATCCAACGTCACACCGGCACCGCCCACATGTCTCGTACAGGACACACCATGACAGGCACTTACCCCCACATCAAGCACCTCCATCGGCCGCGGAGAAAGAACTCCTTGAATTCCAGGCTGCCAAGATGCGGCTTGAACAGGCCAAGCTGATTAGTCAAACGGTTTCGGCAATCAACACCCGATGGAAGACATCCAACGTCCTGCGGGCTGACGGTTCGAACTTTTCGCAATGGACAAGGGACCTTCGAGAGATTGGCACATCTCATCTCTCGGACCTGGATTTCTTTTTTTTGCCATGCGACAACTCGACCTTTGAACACATCGGATGCCTTGTCGTTTTTGCGGGCGTACATCAAGACCTTGTTCCAGACATTCAACCGTTTGGAAAAACGGTGGACATCTTCAATTTCTTGAAGAAGAAATTCTCGGCAAATTCGAGAGCTGTGCAGATGAACCTTTGGCGCCGATTGAGTGGAATAACGATCAACCACTCGGACCTGTCGACTAGTCTCGTGGCGCAGATTCGGGACATTTATACTGAACTGAAAGCGCTCAACGGTCGGTTATGCTCCGACGTGGTTTTCGGATTCCTTTTCCAATCGGCGGTGATGCAATCTTCGGCACCTTTCAAGAAGGATTTTGAACAACAAGTTGAAAATCAAGTTCAGAATGACGCAGCGAAGGCGTTTCCAAAATTCGAAGACATCGTCCACAACTACAATATCTGTCAGAAACAGTGGTCTGAACAGTCCCAACCGAGTGACGTTGTGGGGCTGCAAATGCCGTCAGTGATGCAGGCATCAACGAATGATGAAGGTTTCGATTTCGATGCTTTCTTAGCGGAAATCCCTGAAGATGACTGGTCAGAAGCTCTTGAATTTTTCGCGGTGACAGCTAGACGCTGTTGGCAGTGCAAGGCGCCGGACCACTATCTCAAAGACTGTCCTCAACGATCAGGAGGGACTCAATCAAACGGCGGTTCTAGAGGCTCTAGCGGAAATCAAAGCCACGGTAACTCGCAACGGCAGATGGCGACTTTTGTCGGTTCGCTGTACACCCAGCCTGGCGGGAATCAAGGTCCCGGTCGTTCTCCGTCGGCCCCCCCATCCCAGTTCCAAACACAGGCAAAACGGATGGCCGATTTCTACCGACCAAGGTATCAGCAAACACAAAACCGGCAAAAGTCAGCTCCACCACAACACCAGCAATCACAGAAAGGGGGGGCATCGGCGCAGGTTATGGAAATCGGAGAGGTTCCCGATGATCTTGATGATCTTGACTTCAGGGCAATGACCTTGGGCGAAGATATAGTAAGTCCAACAGTCATTTTTGATACTGGGGCCTCTCATCATTTCTCTGGCTCTCGTTCTCTTCTCCACAATTTCCGTACTCTTTCTAAACCGTTACCCCTCTCAGTAGCTACCGCCGCCAACCAATCCTATATTACCGGAGTCGGGGACCTTAAATTCCAAGTGAATGACAGATCTATCATTGTCATCAAGGGAGTGCTTTATTGTGAGCAAGCCAGGTCTAACTTAATCTCCATGGCAGCGCTCAGGAAGTCTAATGCTTCTGTTCTGTATGACAATGACAGGGATGCTTTCGAGATTTTCAATAGTCTGGGCAACCATGCCTTTAGCTGCACGCTAGACAAGTCGAGGAATCGATGGTGCCTTCCCTACCGCTTCTTGTGCAACAATATACGTGAATCAAGTGGAGACGTTTCTGTTCTTTTTTCAACAACTGTCAAGAAATCTCCATCTGCCAATCAATTTTTTTCACCTCCTCTTTCCTCGTCTCTTAACCCTGTTTTTTCCCCTAGTTTTTCTGACATCTCTACAGGAAATCAAAACTATCCTTTGCTGTCTGATATGACCCCATCTCAACCAATTTTGAATGCTGCAACTGCCAAGTTCAGTGGTGAGAATTTTTTCAAAGCTCCTATTGCTAAAATTGATAATTTCCAATGGAGACCTGAAACACTATCCAAAGACGAGAAACAATTACTGTTCTGGCACCGAGTTTTTGGCCATGTGGGGTTACGCGTACTCAGGAAACTAATCAAGGAGAATCTGGGAGAAGGTCTACCAAAGTCACTGCCGCATGGGTCTATCCACTGCCCTGTCTGTGCAATCAGCAAAAGTACTGCCCTGAACACTCTAACATCAACAAAAAGGGAAATCAAATGGATGGAGATCCTGGCAGTAGATCTTATTGGCCCTTTCGAGGTAGAGGCAGTGGACGGCAGTAAATATTTGCTTACACTCCGAGACGCAGCCTCAGGATACTGTTTTGTTAAGCCTATCAAAGCGAAATCAGATTCTAATAAGGTTATTATGGACACAATAACGCGTCTGGAGAGGATAACATCAAATAAAGTTTTAATGCTTCGAAGTGACAATGGAGGTGAATTCATCAACAAAGCCCTTGGTGAATTTCTTACTAACAAAGGGATTGGTACGGAGAGGGCTTTGCCATATCACCACTATCAGAATGGAATGATTGAACGTTTCAATCAGACGGTTCAGGCTATGGGGCGAACAGTTTTGATTGACAGCTCTCTTCCTAAGACTTTCTGGTGCTACGCTTTCCAGTGGGCCGGGCATGTTCTGAACAGGTTGCCGAACAAGGCTAGCGGGAAAGTCACGCCTTATGAAGCTCTCTTCCAAATTAAACCGCACTTTGATTGTTTTAGGGCTTTCGGCAGCTATGCGTATGTGCACGTACCGGTGGAAAATCGACTGAAGTTGGACACAAGGGCGCTACAGGGACAGGTCGTGGCACATCTGGAAACGAGCAAGGGATGGATGTTCTGGATTCCGTCTGAAAACCGTTTTGTCAACTCGGCCCTGGTGACTTTTGTGGATGCGGAACACTCTCACTTCACAAAAATCGGTAAAGTAGGTGATGACCTTGACAACAATACCTCAAACCCTGAGACGGCAACGAACCACATCGACCCCGGACTTGCCGAGAAGACACCTCGTTTAAGTGTGGATTTTATCATGAACCTGATGCAACTGGGTGATTTTACCAGAGAGATTGAATTCCATGACCAAGAATTGATTGTTGACAAAATCCTAGAGTTGTGTCATTTTTATGCCATTTCTGTTCCGAAAACTTTCAAACAGGCGATGAAGTCACCCGAGAAGGATGCGTGGTCGAAGGCAATTTCTGTCGAGCTGAACAATTTGGAGCAAATGAGGGTATGGCTTGTTTGTTTGATGCCAACAGATAAGAAAGCATTGAACGGTCGATGGGTTTTCGCAACAAAGCCGGACGTTGATGGCACGGGGATCCGTTTCAAAGCTCGCTTTGTGGCCAAAGGATTCACACAAGTGTCCGGTGTTGATTTTAATGAAACTTTTGCACCTACAGCCACTTTTGTAGCCCTTCGTGTTCTGCTTAGTATAGCAGCTGCTAACAAGTGGCCAGTTCACAGTTTTG